TCCAGGGATCGAAGCGTGTGTTACTTCGCAACCGAATAAGACTGCTGGGTTCTCCCTGCTCTACTCCGCTCTGCGCTGCACTGTACAGTACTAGTACTTATTGCCAGCCAGCATTGCATACGCATATGCTTCGCTGCGCAATCCTCCGACCCACTCAAGATGGCACGACACCGCACGACTCTCGAGTGCGTCAGTTTTCTCCAGAATCCGTCCCTAGTGCCGGCGCCGGGTTCGCAGGTTGACTCGCAGAGTTTCCTAACAGACGCCGGCGGAAATGCCTATGCCTTAGGATCTGTAACACATCTGATGCACCGCTACTCTTCACCTCGAACAATATCCGCTAGCGCAAATACATGTCCTGTTTCCCTTTCCCGGACACTTCCGCCTGGATCTGCGTTTCGCATGTTCCCGCAGTGTGTCTGATACAGTACGATCTCCCGAGACCGGCAGTACACGGCTGTGATGTGTTCTGTTTCGGCCGTGTGAGATAGCACGTATATCTCGGAATTGGCTGCTTCGGGTAGTAAAGGAGAGTTGTTATTTTTACCTTAGATGGTATTTATCGAGGCATCCTTCACCCGATGGTTCAGTATGACCTGAAATAAGTGAACCTGGTATTTGTCATTTGATTTGTAGTTTATTTCTTGCATACATATGCATGATCTTCTCCACAGACTGGTTCAGTGGTACAAGACCAAATCTTGGCATGCGGGGGTAGGACATGCCGCACAAGTTCACGCGTCTTGTTTCTGAGGTCGACTCGCACGTCCATCCCCCCCGGTGTACTGCATCCCATCGCATTTACGAGTAACATGGCTACAAGATGGGCACTCAACTCCCTACGATACTTCGTTCCATCTCCCCCACCCAGAGGGAAGCTTCTCTACTACACCAAACGCACACTCCAGCTCTGTGGGTTAGTATGGTGCATCGAGCACTGGTTCTTCGACCTTCGTCTTGTATGCCCCATCCCTGAGCACCCCATCAGCATCTAACGATACCCAGTGCGTAGGAGCGTCCATGCTCCCTACAATGCCTTCAGAGCCCACTCTCGCCCTAGCGCTCATGTACCCTTCCCTCCTCCCCCCCCCATCGCTCAAACTGGGGGATCTCGTCGTCGCTCGTTCTCCCACTCATCCGCGAAAAGAAGTCTGCAAGCGCGTGATCGGCTTGCCGGGGGATACGGTGTGCGTGGACCCGATCGGTGCTGTGCGCGGGCATGGGGGGTGGGAGGACGCAAAGGGTGGGAAAGAACATGTTGTTGTTCCAAGGGGTCATGTCTGGCTAGCGGGGGATAACATGAGCGCCAGTGTTGATAGCAGGATGTTTGGACCTGTGAGTCTGGGACTGGTGAGGGGGAAGATCGTTTTTCGAGTAAGTGAATGTTGGAGTCGAGGTATGCTGCTGATTCTGGTGTGTAGATCTGGCCTAACTGGGGCCCGCTGGGCAATACCTTCCATGAGCTGGACATCAACCCGGACGTTTGACACCACATGTCTCCACTACAACAGCTTATGAGCAAGTACATGCTCAAAGCTGCGACGGCAGAACAGTTGGATACTACTCCGTACGTACAAGTCCGTCGCAGATGCTGCTTTCCTCGCCTCGCTGTGTCCTGCTGCTTTGACGACCAACTCCGTACGCGTGGACCCAATCAGGCTTCCTCAAGCAGCCTACTGACAAAACCAGAAGTACCAACAACATCCCTATCTCTACCAATCCCGTACCAGCACCTTACGGGATCCATATTTCCCAATTGCTGCCACTTTCTTTTGCGTATCTTCGGGTTTGTTTCTCTTATCCACCCAGACGAGGGCAGGATCCCGAGAGAATTTACAGGTTCATAGGCGTCATTGATCACTAATTCCTCAAAATGGGTACACACTGGCCTGTATCTCGTCCCAGCAATAGATCTAGGAACAATGTGGCAACTCGTAATCAATAGCTAACCACTCGGAGATACATTAGAAATTTTTCTTCTACTGTAATCTTTGCTTGTGATTGTTACATAAAGATCGACCGACTGAGCACGCGACTCCCACTCGAACCCGTACTTTTCCCAGTGTCTCACGGTGTCTCCGCGTCCTGCCCCTCCTTTTCCCCTCCCCTCCCAGTCACACCTCTCTCCTTCCCCCTTCGTCCTCCTATCTACTACCCCAGTATGTCTCCCGACGAAATTCCACCTCCTCCGCGCAAGAGGGTCATCATGATCGGCGTCGGGTGCGTCCCTTCCCGCACTAGTACCGCCCTCGAGCACTGACTCGAAATGACGCGTATGTAGAGGCGCAACCTGTTCGGGGAAAACGACGCTTGCCAAGTACTTGAAGGGTATCTTACCCAGGAGTTTGCTTGTGCATCAGGACGACTTCGCACCTGTACGCTGTGTTTCCCACGAGCGTGCGAGCTTCTAGCTGACGTTCGCACGCTTCCCCTCACTCACTCGCTCGCTCGCCATCTAGCCGCGAAACCAGATCCTCATCCACCCCATTTACAAAATGCAAGACTGGGACGCACCCGCTGGAGCTATCGATTGGCCTCGCCTACGCCAGGGACTGCAGTATATAAAGGACCATGGGCGGATGCCGGAGGGACATAAGAGCCATGATCATCTGAATGTGCAGGAGCTTGTTGGGGTGGACGCTGGGGTAGTGGAGAGATGGAGGGAGCGATTCGCCGGTACGGACGTGGGCGCATGGCACGGGGAAGGACAGGCACAGGGGGGAGAGATCCAGTGGGTCCTCGTGGATGGCTTCCTCATGTACTGGGATCAAGCAGTCATCGACCTGCTCGACGTCCGGCTCTTCCTACGCGTCCCGCGGTCCGAGCTCGCGCGCCGCCGACACGCCCGACACGGGTATCATACTGCCGGTATGTGGCCCTGTTTGGGGAGATGAGGGAGCTAAGCTGAGCAGCAGAACAATTCGATTATGCAGAGGGGACGCTCTGGCGCGACCCGCCGTATTATTTTGAACAGATCGTTTGGCCTGCGTATTGTGAGGCCCATGCAGCGCTGTTCGTGGATGGGGATGTGGAGGGGAGGTTGAAGGAGGGCGAGGGGGTGAAAGTCGAGGGACTGGTCGAGCTGGACGGGGGGAGCAACCCAGGTGATATGCTGGAGAAGGCGTGTCCTAAGATATGGGAAGTGTTGACTCGGCAGAGGGAGATTGTACTAGACTAGAATAGACAATGAGATTAACCATATTAACAATGCTGTCTTAACATGTTTGTGACAATGGGCGGATGAGCGCCGGGGATATGCTACGGAAGCGTGACTCCGAGTGAATGATGGGGGCACCTCGTGTACTTCACGTGGCAAACACGCAGTAAAATGGCACCATGTAGCCTTCCCTCCTCACACTTCTTGTCTCACTTTTCCCCCTTGTCACCTTCTTACAAAATTCACTCTCTTCCCAGTCACCCACACTCTCATCTTATTTCAGCCAATCCCCGCTCTCCCTCAGCACAGCCACGCGAAGCCACGCGAACAACTCTCTGGAAATGGATCGACCTTTCTCTCGTAGTGCCACTCCGCCCTTGCCTCTCTCACTTGGCTTTCATTCAACAGCGACCACCACGACAGCAGCAGCAGCAGCGACGACGACAACGCTGGCGAACAAAACACAAAATCCATCGACAGGTCTACTGGCGACGAGCATGGACAGGACTGACAGCTCAACATCCCAGGGATACGTCACTGCTGGCTCTCAACCTGCCCTAGGCATGGGGATGGGACGGGATGTGCCGAACTTGCCTGAGCCTCATGGTAACAACGAGTACAACCAAGGTGCGCAATTAATCCTTTCCTTATCCTCATCCTATCCCCTCTCTACTTTCTATATCCCTTTATCTCCCTATCCCCGCTTAGCACACACCCGTGCTCGTCAACGGCTGACTCGCTTGCAGCGCACTCGCTGGGCATGCAAGAGGACATGCAGCGGCTCGGGTCCCGCATGCCTGCGCCCTCCTCTTCAACTACTACTGTCGCTCCCTCAACTACCACCCTCGGTTCAACTGGTATTACAGAGTCGGCAGTCATCTCCCCTACTAACCCCTTCCGCCAACCGGCATCAGCGGCTCTAGCAGCGACACTCGGGATCCCCCAACGAGGACCACAGCAACCACCACAGCAGCAACAGCAGCAGCGACCTCCGAGTAACGCTAGTTCTATTGGTACCGTAGGCTCGCAGCTTAGCGCTGGAAGGACAGGCAGGGGACTGACAGCGGAGAGCTTGCTTGAGGGATCTCTCCCTCCTCCCCCTCCTGCCAACAACAGCGCTACCACTAACAGCACCAACAGCACCAACACCAACCCGAACAACACCAACCCTCAAGCCCCACCTGCACCTACAGAAAGACAGAGCGCCCTGCTCTCCCTTCTCAACCCTTCCTCCGCACCCGCTCCTCAGGTGCCTCAAGGAATTCAAGGAACGATACTCCACTCATCCTCTGGACTGACACCCCCTACGCTAGTCGCTCCCCCTCCTGCCAACTCGTCCACCACGGGCAGTACAACGAGCCAGGTCCAGTCTCTGGTCTCCCCCCCTCAGTCGTCTCCGCAGTCCCAACCCTCCCAATCCGCAGGCGCGCAACCCCAGCAACCCCAATCCCAGACCCAGCAGACCAACATGTACCCCAACTCTCCTTCAGGGTACAGCGGAAGCACGCTCAACCTCACCTCCGGCCCAGGGCTGCATTTCTCTCTCGCCAACCTCTCCCCTGAACGGGCGGGCGAGTTCCAGTTCCTCCCTGGGGGCACTGGGTTCTCCCCCGTTCCGCCCTATACGCCGGAGCAGGATAGCCCTGCTGCGCGTAACCTTTCGGGCTTGGGCATGACCGGCGAAAGGCTGGGAGAGAGGGAGAGGATCTCACCGACTAATAGTATGACTTATAGTTCTCATGGGGTGCCGCCGATCCCCCAGCTGCAGGGCCAGCCTCAGTCGCAGAGTCAACAGCAGCCGCAACAGCAGCCGCAAAATCAGTACCAGGCCCAGGCTCAGCCCCAACCTCAATCGCAGTCCCAGCAGAGCCAGTCGCAGGGAACTCAAGGCCAGTCGCAAGGGCACCAGCAGCAGCAGGGGAAGCTCCTGGAACAGCTTATGGCTATAGGGGACTTGAGGCCGTCGGGTACCATGCCCGGAGGCCCGAGCGGGCCGGGTGGGGGTTACTCACTTTTCGGCGAACAGGTCTCTTCTGCGCTGAATCAGCAGGGGAGCTATGCCCCGCCACCCCAGCAGCCGAGCGCCCAGCAGCAACAAGCTACCCAGCAGCAACAACAGCAGCAGAGCGCCCAGCAACAGCCTCAAAGGAGCTTGTTCGACTTCGTCTCCCCCTTCGACGCGCTCTCGCCTGTTAGCAGCGGGCCCAGTTCGAACCTGCCTTCCCAAGTCCCCATCCAGAGGAAGCCTGTCAGCCAACAGCAGCAGCAGCAGCAGAGGCAGAGCCTCTCCCCCCCTAGTGCAGGGGAGAGCGCTTCTTCCCGCCCCTTGCCTGTGCCCGGACAGCCCACGAAGCGCATCACGAAAATCGACATCACCCTCCCTCCCGGGTCGGAAGCGCACTGGGTCCGCGCTCGCCAGGACAGCGCCTTCATCACACCTATCGCCCTGCTCAAACTGGACAGTGTCTACCACCCCGGCACCACTATTGGCGTGGCGGACTTTATCGCGTATGCGATGACGAAGGGCCGAGTGAGGCTTATCGACCGCCTGCAGGGGTTTAGGGCGCTCCTCAAGCTCCCCGCGCCTTTCCCGAACAACGCTACCCTCTCAGACATGTACGTCACCGACACGCGCATCTGTGCGACCACGAGCGACGGCGGTCTCATCGTCTGGGATATCCCGGCGATGGAGAGCGAAGACCCGCCCGTGCATACAATGCTCGTCGTCCCCGGTCAAGGGGCGAACAGCGCCATGGCGTTCAAGGCTATCCGTCCGTACCCGGGCCTGTCGGGCGAAGTCTTTGGCCTCGCAACTGCTAAAGAGGTCTGGATCGTCTCGGTACAAGAGGCCTGCCGGTCTGCCGGGAGCGCACATCTCTCTCCCCAGGAACTGAAGAACGTCGCTCGCGTCGTCTCTGTGCCTAGGGATGCGGAGCTCGCTGCGTTTGCTTTCTCCCCCCTGCCGACCCCTACTACGTCGTCTACCACTCTCCCCCCAGAGCCAACCCTGGCAACCGTGACCACAACCTCGGAAGTCACGTTCTGGAGTTTGGGAGATATCGACCCCCGCCCACTATGGCGTGGCACCGTACCCGGCTCTGGCAAGCCCAGCAGCGCGCACTTCGTCAGCACCGAAGGGCTCGTCCTCGGTCGCAGGCAAGGCACTGTCTTCCAGCTTCTATCTGGACTTGCGGGCCGCGTGGTCGAAGAAGCGCGGTTTGATGCCGGCTCTGGCTCGGTAGGCGAGTTTGAGGAAGGCGGGTCCCGCGGGTTCGGGCACGTCGCTTATGATTCAAGGCTCGGTGCGCTCTGGGTCGCCAACTCTGTCCGGCCTTCCCTTTTCGCTCTCAGGCCTCTCGTACCCAGTGGTACGGTCCGTCCTACGGGATTCTACCCTACCCTCGAGTTCCCTCTCCCAGAACCGATGATCAACATCACCCTCGCTACGGACGTTGCGTACCGTGGAGGCGCCTCGGACGGCTCGGATCGCCAGAGCCCGGTGCACCACGATAATGCCGTGACGGCATTTGCGGTGCATACTGGAGGGGTGCACCAGGTGCAAGTGGCTCGCGAGAGCTGGGAGGAGACGATTAGCCGAGGTGAATCGCTCTCTTCGCTTGATCTATCTGGTCCTGGTCCTGTGCCTGCGGCCGCAGGGGCAAGCGAGAGCGAGCACTTGGCTGAGATCCCTGATGAGGACGAGCCGGAGGGAGATCAGGACACGGGAGCCGAGATGGAGGAACCGGTTAGGAGCATGCCGAGCGCTCCTGTCCTCCAGCCTGGGGCTAGGGTGCCTATTGCCACTCGTCAGGAACGCGTCTCTGGCGAGAGCATCCTTCCCCGTCCGGCTGCGAGCTTGACGAGCATCACCGGCGTGCCCCTTATGGCGCAGGTGGACGACTCGGCCGAACATAGTGGGAGCAGCAGGGGGATCACGAACCCTGCTCCTCCTGCCAAGAGTAGGAAGGAGAAGGAGCGCGAGAAACACGAGGAGAAGCGCAAGGACGAGTCTGGCAAGGATAAGGAAAAACAGAAGGACGAGACGCTCCCCGCTGCGCTTGCTAATGACCCCTTGGGCGCGGCGCTCACCCGAGAGATGAGACGCGTTGAGGAGAGCTTGCAGTCTGCTGTGACACGTATCTTGGGATCGGAGATGGAGAGGCAACGTATGTCTTATCATGGACCATAAGAGCATATGCTGATTTGCTCGTGCAGAGAAAACATTCGACAGCCGGCGTCAGAAGGATCAAGAGGATGAGTACAAGCGTCAAGAGACTATGCTCAAGATGATCTCTGTTGAACTCACCAAGAATACGTCCCGCGTGGTCGAGAATGCTGTCAAGCAGGAAGTACAGACCACTGTCCTGCCTGCGCTCGAGGCTATTGCGAAGAGCGAGATCCGCAACTCCGTCAATGGACAAATCGCAAAGGGACTGGGTGACAGTATGCGCACCGTGCGTTCATTCCTTCTGAACCGTGTGGTTGGTATCCTAAGCTTCACCGTAGACGCTCCCGAATGAGATCGAAAAGCTGCTCCTCCGACCGGATGTGTCGAACCACATCGCTCGCACTTTCTCTTCAGCGGTGACTCCTCTCGTGGAGAAGAATGTCAAGGACACGATCACCCGCTCTTTGCTTCCAGCCTACCAGCAGCAGACACAGATCATGCAGCAGGCTCTCATGCATGAAATTCATACGGAGATCTTGAATGTGAAGAAGGAAATCGTCGGGTGGCAGAGTGATGTCTTGACGGACGTTCAAGTGCGTAATGTCACTGTATACGCGCGTCATACTGAGCATGGGGTCAGACTACCATGAACTCGCTTGAGCAACAATTCGTCCAGCTTAGCGAGCAAGTGCGCACTCTGTCCCTTCAAGTCAAGGCACCCAGCAGGAGCCAGGGAGGCACCCCCACGCACACGCCTTCTCACCTGCGTGGCTCTGGGAACTCCATAATGGCGATGGGACCCCCTCCCGCTCTGCCGACTCTGCTTAATCAGACCGCCCCAAGTTGGCCACTCATGCAGAATACGCAGCAGGGTCCCATGGGACCTCAATTCCAGCCTGGTCCCGTCTATCCTCCCGGAAATAGCCAATATGGACCTCCTGCAGGGCCTCCCGGTCCGCCGCAGCAAATGCCTCAGCCACAGCAATCACAACAGGCACAGCGCGAGCAGAACATCCAAATGCCTCAACCCCAACCGCCTCCCTCCCAGGTTCTGGGTTTCAGGCCGGAGGACTGGGACGAGGCGTTTTTGACCGTGCTGACGAGCGGCGAGACCAGACAGCTCAGGGAGTTGCTCTCTAAGTGCAACGCCGATATCATCATGCCTGCTAATGGACAGGGACCGCTGTCTCAAGCAGTCATCCTTACCATTGTGACCAGGGTGAGTTGTATTCGTTCTTTGATGCTAGCTCCCTTTCTGATGCATGCTAATAGCTGTCGACAATGGTGTCAGAAATGTCGCCGGAAGATGAGGCTTTCGACTTCACGCTGCGCTGGTTGCAGCGTGCTGCCATGGCCTTGACACCTTCCGTACGTCGCTCAGTCACAGTTCCAAAGTCTTGCCTCATAGATTCTCCTAGGACCGTGTCATTGCCCCTTATGTTCAGCGTGTCCTGCCGTCTGTTCAGCAGACGCTCGGTAACCTGAACCAAAGACTGAATCTGCTCCCTGGTGGTCCAAGGCTGCTGGAAATCAGTCGCACCCTGAGTCAGATCCAACAAACGCTTCAGTCGAAGCCGCTCATTGCTCTGTAACGCAATGAATGAAATGATTACGAGCCCCCTGATCCTTTAACGACTTGTTTACGTACATACATTCTTTGGATCGTTTCCTTGTTCCTTGTTCTGCATGGTATATATTGCTTACCCTCAACGTGATTTCCAGATATGATTGCTACCCTTACCTGATGCCAGGTGTAACGTAAGCTAGTCTGTACATATCTGTTTTGAGGAAATAAATGTGTCTGATCTACGCCGGTGGCCTTGAACATACGGTTACTACCGCACTTGATCTTGTGTGGGACAAAGCTGGGGATCACGATGCGTGATCTAAGCAGAGTTCGACATGTCCATTTCAAAATCCTTGCTTGAACCGTTCGGTGAGAGAGAATATATGGGCCTGTATCCAGCTGCACATCGCTCCCAGTGCTCCAGCAAACCACAATAAGGCGCGAACGTTGAGGTAATACAATAATCCAATCTAGTACAAGCTAACACATCGCTCAGCGCCCTCTGCGCCAACTGTCCTTCTCTTTATCGTCATACCTCCTCGAATCCCTGTCCCTATTCCGCTCTTTATACTCATCTCGTTCTCTTTCCCTTTGGCCGTCGCTAGGCCTGTCACGATCTCGGTCCGATCTCCAATCCCGGTCCCGGTCTCTCCGATCTTCTCGGTCAGAATACCTCGTTTCATCCCTGTCGCTTTCCCTCCGCCGATCCCGATCTCGGTCGTAATCCCGGTCTCGGCGACGCTCACGTTCACCCTCACGGTCTGACCGGTCTCGATCCCGATCCCTTTCTCGGTCTGAGCGAGAAAGCGGTCGAGAAAGTGACCGACCCTCGTCGTCGCTACTTCGTGCACTCGAACTCCCACTCTCTCCATTCGTCTTCACCTGGGCAACATGAGAACCATCCAATCCCTGAGACTTGAACAGCACTAACCTCTGCCACCCTCTTAACGAGCGGGACATACTTCATCGCCGCTTTCCTATTTCTCGACTTGTCCTTGTCCTCTTCGTGAAGTGTATCTTCCGGTCTCGCCTTCGCCCCCAAGCCCAAGAACGCCGGTCGAGCTTTGGGAAGCCAAGGTTCCGTCGGTCCTGTACGTGTCCTGCTTGCCGCTTCGCCCGGTTTCCACCCCATCCCGCGCAAGAGGGCCGCCCCAAACTCCTCGATCGGGACACGCTTGTAGTCGTCCAGCGTCGGTGAGTCGGGACGCGTAACGACATCGTCTTGGTATGCTTCGGCTTCGGTAGGAACGTGCATGGGGATAGTGTCAATGTGCGGTTTCTCGTCTTCCCCCGTGAGGAGAGCGCGAAGCGCCCGCTGCTCAAGTGTCTCTTCAACTTCCATCTTCACCGTCACTTCTTCCTCGGGCTGAACCTTGACTTCCACCTTCTCCTCCATCTTGAAATCATCAAGCTTCGGAGCAGCCAGTGTCAACCCGGCAAGTTGAGGACCAGAATTGATCACATCGCGTGTATCCATTTCTCCCGCTTTCTCCGCTTCCGCACGCTCCCTCGCTCCAGGCGGCAAGTACCGCTCAGCAGCATGTCGTTTCGCATACGAGCTCTGCCTCCAATCCTTGTTCGGAAGCGGAGCAATCACAAGATGTGCAGCCGCAGTCTGTCGGGGTTTATGAGCTCTACCAAAGCCTTGTGGTGAGTTGCGGTCTGCTTGTTTCTGAGATGTGAAAATAGCGCACCGCTCAACTCCGAGCTCGTCAAACCCAGTGATGATCTCATCTTCCGTTCCCTCTTCCTCGCTGCTGTCATCTTCGACCGGAGCAAACCGTTTTTGAGTCCGGGCTAGTGGGCTAGAGCGTGAGGCAGCTGAAGAGCGCGCTCGAGCAATTCCCGGTGGTAGAAGCCGGCCATTGGGACGTGATGGGGGTGGCTCAAGGTCGGTCCTTGCCACTGGTTGAGACGGTGAAGCCGAGGGTGGAGGACGACGGATGGTGAATGAGAGCTTTCCTTCGGACATCTTGTGCGGTGGTGGTAAGAGTGCAAGATGCAACGGAGGGAGGTGCAAGAATTCGACTCACTCACAACCGGAACCGAGAAGCACAGCCTCCCGGATAAAAAGAAATAATGCGCAACACACCAAGCTTCAAGGTGGTTGAGATGGTGGTAACAGCCTCAGACCCATGCTGTCCAGGAGTCAGACTCCTAAAGGCTCATACCAGAGCAAATTCATTAAGCTGGGCAGGTACAAATACTATATTGCATGACACTCATGAGACCGTTAGCTGGACTACCGCTCTCCCTACATACCCGCTACCGAGCTGCGTGAATTTGCCATACATATATGCATTCACGATGTTACAGTGCACACCAAACGTGAGATAAGGGGGACTAGTTCGCGGGAGCCATGCACCGGTCGGTGGACAGCCCGTCGTCCAACGAAGGGTTACCCCACCATGTCGGGAAGGCATACGCCGTCCCTGAAGCACCGAAGATGGCAAAGTTGAGCACGAAAGAAATAACCTGAGTGCCACCGTCCAACGCGCCGGCGACGATGTAGTTGTACTTCGTGAACCAACGAGGGTAACGCGTGCGGATCCACCATTGGGAGACGATACCCAGGACGATGGCGGGGGTAACCGAGGAGTTGATACCAACGGACAGATAGCAAGAGTACTGCATGATGATGGCGGTGTTGATGTTGTTGATACCCCAGTGTGGGCGGAGGCGGTGGATGAGGTAGAAGGGCAAGGGAAGGCAGACACCGATGGCCAGGGAGATGGGGACCATGCGGTAAACGCCGTGCGGGCTAGAGAACATAGGGTCTGCGAGCGCACCCCATGCAATGGCGTTAGAGTTGTAGCCTTGCGCATTCTGGCCAGACCAAAGACGAGTACCTGAGACAGACAGGAGGGCGTCACGATTTGCCTTGATAATGGAAAGCATCATCACGTAGTTGAGGACAGCGCCCACGACGGTACCCGCCAACTGGACGAGGAAGGTCATGCGTGGCGCAAGTTTGATGTACTGGCCGAGCTTGAGGTCCTGGAGCATGGCAATACCCTGGTTCATTGGCGTCTGGCCGTACAGAGCACCGTACATGTTTGCGATGGGGTCGCCAGGAACCATGTATGCGGTGATCATCTGGAAGAAGCCAGCACCGGACGAAGTGAATTCATAGAACCCGAGAATGGCAGCGAGGATGCCGTAGACGAAGCAGAGGAAGAAGCCGATGGCCAGGAGGACGATAAGAGTCCACCAGGGGAGATGGGATTGGCCCGTATAATCCGTGGCTTGCGAAATGCCGAAGGCAATCACTACACCTTGGTGATTAGCAAGCGTCAAATATCACTATAATGAACTGCGCACCCAAAATTGCAGCGAACCACCACTTTGGGACTGGCTTGTAGACCTTCATCTTCTCGAAGTGCGGGTCGTGGACCACGTAAGGAACACGGTTGAATGGGTTGAGCGAGCGCATGAACGGTCCAATGGCCTCCCAGTAGAAGAGCCAGGGGTGAACAGCCGCCGCACCAAGTGCCAGGTTAGAGGTGATGAGGTACAAAGCATTGGTGGCAGAGAAGTAGGCGGGACCGAGCTCAGCATACTTGGCAGGGTCATACTTGCCATTGGTTAGCAGTGCCGTCTGGTTGTATTGAGAGCCGTCGGTGGCGAAAATGGCTTGAGACATGAAGGGGAAAGACAGGCCATTCCAAATGTTGCCGTAATACACACTAGCCATGAGGATGTAGGTCAGGCAAATGCCGATATCCATGTTAAGCTGCGTCCACAGTGGGTTGATGAGGCAATTGCTTCCAATAAGGTTCTGTTTTCATGCAAATCAATATCGCTGACTTTTTTTTGGCCTCGGTAGAGCGAACACACCCAGTCAAAGCACCAGGAAAACATTCCCATGCCTTCATTGTTCGACCCACCACCGAAGACGTTGCGGATGACCTCGCCACGGCCATTGGCGATCATACAAATGATCGAAAAGGCGGACAGGAGAGGGAAGATCCACTGGGGGATGATCTCGTAGAAGAACATGAAGGTGAAGATGATCCAGAAAAGGCGGACACGCTTCGAGCTCATCGCGTTGTCGTAGTGAAGAGCCTGGAACAGGTTCGCCGGTGAGATGTTGGCCGGCCAGAAGCAAACGGTTGGATAGACGAGCAGGTCCATGAGGAAACCAGCATAACCGTATCCGATAAGTTGGGAGGAGATCAGGGTGAAGATGGCAATACCGGGGTTGACTTCATTGCTGTAGTACAGATCCTGTACGGACAAGACCTGAATACCTGTTGCAGAGGTAGCGGCGGTTGAAGCCATGATGATGATCGCAACATGCTCTGTGGGCGGTGTCAGGGTTCGGCCCCAATTAAATTACCAAGAGGCAGCTTGCTTACCCTTGATGTTGAAAGGACCAGGGTTAAGCCACTTAAGGGGGCCCCACCGGGGAATCAATGCCATAATGTTGCCGAGCCAGTAGGAAATAACGAGGAGGAAAAGCCTCGAGACCGTGAGGGTTTGAGGCTTGAAGAAGTAGATCTGAGCGAGAACTGCACCGAACGCAGACAGACCAAGACCGAGGAACCATGTGCGGAAAGTGAAAGCTTTGAGTTCGGGGTCATCACGCGTAGAGAGCACCTTGATGGCGACCTCGTAGGCATCCTGGGGACCATTGTTAACAATTCCGGCTTGGCTGCACGTAATAGTATGGTCATTTCACCTTGACGCGGTACTCCTCCTTGCTGGCCTCGTCTCGCTCGATCTTCATCTCGAGCTCTTCAACAGCTTCGAGCTGGGCAACGGCGACATCATCTTCGCTACTTTGTTTGAAGTCTTTGCCACTCCCGTCCTCGATGTCCCCCGAATGGGAGATTATCGGCTCGAGAGGGTGAGCTTCATCGATGGCGACACCATGGACATTAATGATTTCATCACCGTTGGGACGTACTTCCAACTTCTCGTGAGACATTATGCCTCCCTTCTTGTCGGTCGACGAGGACTGGTGAAGTGGAAGGGGGAAAGGGACGACCAATGGAGGGAATGTTATCGGACAACGCTACATTATAAAGGGTCTCTGCCGTGACCCTCCCAGGTGACCCTTGGGGGCAGTACCAGAAGAGTCAATAGAGAGCGCCATGGAGAAGCACGCGACTACAGGCGGCGGAGATCGAGACGATAGCACATATAGTTAGCACATGGTGAGGCACTTGCGGAGATTCTGCTCCACTCCAGGATAATCGAAGATAAGGAGTGGAACACACGAGCATTTAGAAAAAGAATACATGTCCCGAGCTGGCCAGTGGCAGTTGCGACCTTGTGGGGAAGTTGGGAAGAAGCGACAACGGACGTGTGCACCATTCAACACTCAACGGAATCAAATGTGAAAAAGAATGCACAGCCATATTTTAATCCCGTCTACCTGATCATGATAACGGGTGTTTACCCGTGAGAGCTCCTCCCCCTTACACCCTGGCCGGCTTTGTCTTGCTCTGGCCCATCACAAGCCCAAATCGTCCCACGATATCCCATTACAATCACAGCGTCTAAAATTAGGAAGCCAATTCTGGCCACTGATGACCTCGAAACTTCCAACATAGAAACCAAATTAACGAAGCATCGAACCAAGCACCAGGAACGCATCATTCTGCCCCGCCACGCCACAGCGCTATCATTTCACCAGTGAAATGCTATTGAGGACCAGGTGCGGATCAGAACCCACCACGAATGGCGGCGTCCGGTGCTGACCGACCAAGGGAAATGTACAGCCTTGCGTGATGTGTGAAACCGAGATATCCGGCAACAAAGCTAAGAAAGGCAGACTGGGCAACGCAACCGGGGGAATCACCAAGCATCTCGGGGAGGTTGCCGAGTAAGGAAGAATTATGATGAACTTGCCCTTGCGATGCGCACATGGGCAGGACGGGCGATAAGAGGCGGCTGCTGCTGTTGTGGGGAGCCTCGTCTCCGATATTTTCCTCATACAGTCCTTGGACGATACTAAATCCCTGGAAGTGAAACCGTAAAGTTGTCCAGCAGCCGGCCCGTTGTGTTTCCTCGGAGGCTCGGTACAGTTCTGAATTGGCCGAGCACGTCGCCTGACACAAACCCGCATGGATTTATGGGGGGCTGAGCAATTGATGACATATTTACGAAAAGAACTGATCGAGTCAAGAAGTAACCGCCGGCTGAGTGCGACTCGAAAGGCACACAGCCATGTGGTAACCTGAAGTTGCATGCGTTGTCCTGGGATGTCCCGCGCGTTCTTTTGCTTCCGTGGCACCGCAGTGATTGGTAAGTAATTCGGACTCTATTGATCTTCTCTCAGTCCATAATCACGGAGCCTTTCTCATCACCTTCATCTCTTCCCGGAATAAAAGCATAATTAACTCCGTGGACTCCTCTATCGATGTTTCTCAGTGTTGGGTCTGTACTAGTCGTCGCCGCATCAAACCGCAATCCTCCGATAATTGCAAGGCGAACTCCGGTATAGCAAGCGACCCCAGCTCTCTACCCATTCTTTACCGAAACACAAATCTCCACTCAATTTCAGTCGTGCGACTAACATTGCCGAATTCTCGGGACGCGCATGGACCATTCAGAATTTCTCTGCGATGCCGTTGCTTCTCACTAAGCACCTCATGGGGGCTCCCACAGGCACATGGTTCCTTCGGCGCTCTCCACATATCGAGCGGAGCGCTGGTGATTAGAGTGCACTGGCGCTTATCCTTGTCCGACCAATGCTTACTTTGATTGTGGCAAACATGAAGCCACCCCGCTCACGGCATGTTTGTGTAGGTTCCTGGGGAACTCAAAGATAATTGATTCTTCGGTCCGGTCTCGTCTTTCGCGCCATCAATCCGCCAGGCGTAACCTATCGTCGCCTTGTCCACCGTATGCACATCGCACGTTCTCTTATCACCTGATTTGGGCTCATGCTTTCCCTTATCATCTGACCTTTCCGAGATAGCGCAAGCGGAGGGTGATCGTGTGCAGTAACGGTGGCGATCACCTAAGCCATGAGATCAGGACACGGAGCATCCAACGGCAGCAATTATTCCAAAATCGGTAATGTAATCATCCACATGCTTTGGTTCACCTAGCAGAATACCTAATATCGTTGCGAAACTCTCACCCGAACTAGGAGAAATCTTCCGAAAACTCCGTTTCAGTCGGAACCGTCACGCATGAATGTCCGTGCTTCGAAAATGTGGCTGGCTAACCTCGGCTGGAAAGAAGCAATGGAGTCGTTATCATTGCACATGTTCTAATCGCAGCAATATAATCCCTCGCAGCCCTAGGGCCACTGCGCACACATGTTCCGTCGAATTCTTGTCCAAATGAAGTGTGCCTGAGGTGCCTAGCATTCTTAACATGATAGATACACTATCTTCCTGTTATCGGGGAAGAAGAGTATTTGGTCTATTTCGAGCCTGACCCAGAAGATGGGAAGAAACGTAATAGGAGACGCATGGTTCCCTCACGCACCACCTGGCAAATTCTTCGGATCTCAAGCGTCATTATATTCGGAAGATGGCGCGATTGGAAAGACGGTTGTCGTTATCAGAGCAAGCAATCATAGGCCCGAGTATTCCGACAAGTCCGCTTGTATCGTGATGGGTGAAAGGAAGCACTGGCAGGGGAATGGATGACTCGTCGGTCTGCTAGCTGGCCAGACTGCTGGTTTGCTGGCGACTTCGCACGTAGTCATGACATGCCAATGTCCTCCACAATGGCTAAGGTGTCCTGATTGTTATGGAACTCGGTGCCCAAGTAGGGGATATACCATGATCAATTGTGAAGATAACGTAATGCCGAAAAAGTCAGGTCATCTAGCCAGTCCTACATGCCAGTCATCCACGGATCGTCAGCCCTAACCCAAAGGATCGAAGTCCTTCCAGTCCGTCTTCTTCGCATCTCCAGTGGAAGCTCCCACTTTGGTCGGAACAAGGATGCCAGTGCTAGACTGGGCTAATGGTGGTATGTTGAAGGGGATGGGTGCTGCGCCGTATGAAGGGGGGTTCGCGGGGGCCACCGGAAGGCCAAAAGATAGGCTCGTGGTTGGGAACGACGGCGGTTGCATTGGGAATGGTGAGCCTCCAAGGGACACGGGTGGTTCAAGAGCCATGCTGATATTATAGTTTGGCTTGGACGTCTGGAATGAACCGGAGGGCGTCTGGGCATGCGCAGATATCGGTTGAGTTTGAAGGGGCGCCCAACTACTAGCAGCGAGCGGGGAAGAAGCTCGTTGGACTGGTGGAGCATATCGGTTGACACTCGACAGCGGTGGTATTGAAGAGGAAGAGATGGTGCGTTGGGATATAGGTGGAGATGTCAGTGATGCAGATCTTAATGGTGGAGAGGATACCTGGGCCGCAGGTCTGGGGTTGGTAGAAGTTGTGAAGGACGTCTGTGGCAGGGGAGGGAAGGTGGTTGCTGGACTGGCGAAAGTAGAAACGGTGGTTGATGCTGGGGTAGACTGAGCACTGATGAGCGTGACTCGCTGTGAGTACTTTGGTGAGCTTACCGCTGCCCCGGCTTCTGCGAAAATGCTATCCCATGGATCAACCTCATCCCACGAAGATGTCGACGGCTGAGTGGACGAAGTCCCATTCATGGCTGCCACAGGCCTTGGACTTGACCCGCCGGCAACAAGGTCCTCGAAATTCATTTCACCGTTCGCGGCCATGACAGATTGAGATCCCGAGATTCCACCGGATGTTTGCTGTTCGATCCTTTGGTTTTCGCGCAGATGCTGCATCTGCTCGCGTTCAACACGGTCCCCGAGAGAGCGAATGATCCTGAATACTGGGTGAGACCAGTGGTGAGGTGACTTGAATCATACTTACTTCATAAAACGAGCGAATTGGTCAACGGAAAGCAGAGGGCCCATAGACATCGACCATAACTGTGGTAGCACAAGAGTTGCAACAGCCTCCCGGTCCACTGAATAACATTAGCGTACTGTGCGTCACGCCGCACAAAACGCACACCTTTCAGACCCATAGCTTCATGCACATCTAGTGTTGCCATCTGTGTCATAATCAGAACGGGTCAACCAGAAATGGAGACAGAAGTACCATAACAGATGGTTCTGTCGATTCCACATGAGAAACATTTAAGTGATACACGATGAATTTTCACACCTTTGGTTCGTATCCGTGCCAGTAACGGTACCATCTTCTGGGTTAGGGTTGTCTAACGAACCCCCATTAAGCATCTGCAGCACATCATAATTAACTGCACACGCACAGTGTCCAGCACTTTGACCAAATGAAGGAAACACATCAGCGTGTTCACTTTAACGGACAGAACTCTTGTCCTAGTGAACAACAACTGAACACTGGGTAAGCATGCGACATCAATTTGGCCCTTTGTGAGCGTACCGCAATCTTCGGGAACAGCACACTCTGCACTTCGCTGTAATCCACTGTCTCGTCTACTTCAGGCACAGCGGTGAGCGCCCGTTCCTGGACGTTGACGTGTTCTGACTCCAGTGCGGCGTAAATCAGGGGCATGACGTCTGGATCCCGATGATCAGCACACTCCTGATTGATAAGAACTGCTGTTCGCTTACGCTCTTTAAATACCGCGGGGGTAGTTTTCTCCTGAAAGAGCTTCAGATTGTCTAGGAGAGTAATCATATTCTGCGGCGGATCACGGATCTGGAATAATGGCTTGATATTGGGCAAGACGATCTGAGCGAACTGCTCCTTCGATAGAGACTTGGAGATCTCAAACACGTTCGGGAGGATGAAAGGGAGTAGCCAAGTGTCTTTCATCTCCTCAACCAGGCTGGGAAGGATCTTGCGACGCTTGAGGCCTTCTGAGAACCGAGGTAACACTTTGAGTAGTCCTTTCATGAAGGTCGCTTTCTCTTCCTTCGGCTTGGCGCTGAAGGTAGACCGTTCGAGGAAGTTGAGAGTGGATATGGCGAGGGAAGAGAAGAAGGGCTGCTGGGGGAGAGTGGCGGTGGTTAGGCGGTTTGCTGGACTTCGTGTGACCAGGTGGTTTACAAGATCTGCCATAGATGGTAAGCATTGTTTTCAGCAGAGACGGAAAGACACTGAAGCTCACCGAGCAAGTCTCCTCCCATCATAGCATTTTGGATAGCATTGCCGCTTCCTAACCTGGCCGCATTTTCTCGTAAGGTGTTCATACTGCCGTGAGTCGCGAACGGTGGTCGACCATAATTATGTACGGAATAAAGCACACATCCGAGCGCGTACATATCGCTCGCGACAGTAATTTGCTCGTCGATCGCATATTCGGGAGCTGCAACATAAATTAGGCCGATAGTCGTTCATACGTGTCGTGCCGCTCACCCAGATAATCGAACTTCCGTTGAGCATAGAGCAACAAGCGATTATCGTATTCCGGGAACTCCCACCGTGTGGGAGTCCCATCAGGCTGACTAAGAGGCATAGTCAGACCCAGGCCGCTAAGCTTCCAATCACCCTATCGATGTGCTTAGAGAACCACGCATGATGCCAGTTGAAGTCGCACCTTGCTGTTAATAAGGATGGCTTCCGGACACACGTTCGAGTGCACCAATCTTGCTGATGTGTGCAAGAACTCGAGGCCTTGCGAAAGAGTAAGCATTTGAAGCATGAAAATGCCATTTGCTCGTACCTCGACATACTTGCAGTAGGCCTTTTTGAATCTAGCAGGCGGGTTAGAACATCCGCGAATGGGAGAGTCGTACGGCGCACCTCAACCTCGTCCAGCTCTCCAGAATCCGCTCCGCTTCCTCCTGAGCGCCTCGAAACGGGAATAGACAGGGCAAGTGAAGACGTTAAGGGTTCGGTTGCGAATATAATTTCTCCTCTGGCTATGGCATCGGGACGGGTTGAGCTCTTCTAGACCAAACTACGTACCGGGTCTCTTCCATTGGTTCCACCATTTCTGAACCAGTCTCAGTTTCCTATCAGGTATAATATTTTCTCAAATGACTCACCAAGAATACAAGGATGTCGTAGTCGGGAGAGAGACGATGCCTACATAGCAGCCCGCAGCTCCTGGTCAACCTAACTCATAGCTCGTGGAAAAGTCCTCACCTCATGCTTCAAAACCTCTACAATCCGTTCCTTCCCTGCAGCTCCCATCTTATCCACCGATCGCTTCTCGAACGACCACACGCTGACCTGTTTCGCAGTGACTTTGTGCGTCGCAGCCTGGACCTTCCAGGGGCCGACATTGAATGTAGGTGTAAGGGTCGACTCCGGGAGGGCGGTAGAAGAAGCTCCAGGCTGTCCGATGGTATAATTCTGCGAGATGGCCGTGCCTCTGATGAGAGAGGTAGCAGCGGCGAAGATGCCTGCCATTGGGATGAAGTGCGACGGTGGGCAGGGATTTCGTCCGGTCGTTACTGTACTACTTGCTCCTGGTCAGCGGTCCTTCCACTCATGTTACGCGCTTCGAGCGGAGGCATTCCGGAGAACCCTGGCCGGAGCCGAGCACGGACTTCATTTCTATCTAGCTTTAATCGTGTGGAAAGTAAACAAAATGCACAACAGAATGAATGAAAATGCTCTGAGAGGCCAGCAAAAGAATTGAAGTGTGAGCATATAAATCATGTGAGCTGAGGGCAAGGTCACGTGAGTCCTAGTCCACTACCAGAGATCGTCAACTGGATGGTCCCTAGCTGCTGAACGCTCACTGCGCCGACCACCCTCCCAAGCGCAAGATGGACGAGCCCCTCGAAGTAGGCGCGACCTTCCCAGCCCCTCCAAACCTCTACAAACGGTATACAGTCCCCAACCTCTCCCTCCTCAAGAAGCTTCATGTGCACGGCCCTTCCGCGCTCGAAGACGAGCCAGACGTTCCAGAATGGCTGAGCGAGTTGGACCCGCCTAGGGTGGACTGGGTGGTCGAGGAAGGGGGATATCACAGTTTTGGCGAGTTTTGGCCTGTGCGTTCCCATACCGATCTGCTCTTCATCTTGAGTGTTGGGCACTGCTCACCTGGTTGCAGATCCCGAGTCGTGAGCCTACGCTAGCAGAAGTAGGCCTCGTCCAGCTATACGACCCCCAAGCGCGAGGTGCGTCCCCCTCCTCCTCTCCCACCAACCCCACTAACCCCCCACAGACCTGCGCCCCGCTCTACACTCCCTCCTCCGCACCCTACTGCACAGCTACCACACCCTCCTCTCCACCCTTCTCTCCGGCCCCCAAACCCACCTCGGAAACTTAGAAGCCCAAGCCCAAGCCCAAGCCCAAGCCCTCGACAGCCCTGTGTTCATGTACACCGAATGGATGCGCGCCGCGGGGGTGAATATGATGCATGCTGTGAACAGGCTGAGGGGGATGCAGGCCAGGGTGGGGCTGGAGGGGGTCATGAGAGCTAGGGTGGAGGAGAGAAGGAGGAAGGTGAGGGAGATCAGGGGGTGCGTTATTCTACTACTCTACTCCTACTACTCCTACTACTCCTGCTCCCCCCACTTCCCACTACTCCCACCTCCCACTACTTCCACTCTTTCCATCCCTTGTTTCCCGCACACGCTAACCACCAGCAGGAAATGTAAATCCATAGAAGAAGAGCTCCAAAAGCTGCGAGATCGCGCCAGGAGACTAACCGCAGCCCGCGACCAACTGGTGCTCCACACAGCCGAAGCCGAAGAAGAGCCTTCCAAGGAACCAGCAACGATAGCTCATGTCGCGGAGTGGGTTGCTCAAGTCTGATCTTTCCGTATGTATTACATATACCCAGGCATCTTATACCCTTCTTTTCCCCTCCCTGGCATGTACTGTTCCACCAAAAGCCTGTACGACCAAGCATAACGAACGGTATATTCCAGCCAATCCCTAAAGTACATACATTCCCCCATCAATCGGTTCAATACTCCGTCATGAGCAACGACCTCCCCACGCCATACGCACTCCTCTTCCTCGGCCTAGCAAGCAAGTCCACATCCTCCGAATCGAAAAAGCTGTATCCAGTAGTGAGCGCCTCCTCCTCATAGGGCGTCGCTGTGCCCGAACGGTGCTCGTGCTCGTGCTCTTCGTACGGCGTCCTGCCCTCGCTATACTCCGAGAGAGCGATCGGTTCCCCCGTCCTGCCATCCCTCAGCACCCCCCCATGATCGACAAAAGACCCCGCGCGCTCGTTCGCCGCCCGGTAGATATGTATAATAAGTTTCTGCGCTTCGAGCATGTAGGAACGGAGGGTGTCGAGCCACCTGCGAGTCTGGAGATGTTTCGTCGCCGCACAGATGGAGATCATGTCGTCTTTGATTATGTAGCCTACGCCTATCCCGTCGGCTGCTACGGGTCCGAAACCGAATAGGCGCAGAGCGGGGTTGCCGCAGTTCGACGTACTGATTATGCTTGTGCCGAGGACGGTGTACCCCGGGTCGGTGAAGATGCTTGGGAGCTTGGTAGCGGTCCCGGGCTTGCCACTGCCGTTCTCGTTCGCTTGGATCTCTCGCTGCAGAAGGCAGTACATCGCATACAGCACGCTGTGGGCACAAGAACCCTTCAACTCCCGCCCACACACAAAAATCAAAGAACAAGAAAGCACTTACCGATCCTGTCCCAAACCAACCGAACACTCCTTAGTCAACCTGACATGGTTCTCACACGCCTTGCGCAAAGCCGCAATCTTCTCCCAAGGGGAATGCTTATCCGAAAAGTAGGTTTTGATAAACTCGACACTCTCGGGCTGGACAGTCCGGATGGCCTCGGTCCGCCCGTGAAGGAAGGCCTTGGTCATGGCCGGTTCGTAGGTGGTCTCGATCCGCCCTGCCCTGGTTTAGCGCCGAACACCGGACACTGGACGCTCGATAAGGACGCACCGTACAGCCCGTAGTAGGCAGCCTGGAAAGCCATCTGCACGAACGCATCTGGGGAAAACCCATACTTTGTAATAAAGTTCTTTCCATAGTCCCTAAATTCCAGGACCTGCAGTGCATCAGCCAAGTTTCACCGATTGATAATTCCGCGTGGCAGAACCCACCTGACAGTCATTCTGGCAAATCAAGTCGCTCAGCCTCGTCTCCGCGAACCGGATTCCAGTCTTGACCTCAGGCGTCATAGTCCACTCGAGTTTCTTCGGCGTGGAATGAATATGTTCCTCCGGTTCCTCTTCCGCCAAATGATGATGATGCCCCTTTGGCTTGTACGATTTCGCGTGCGGCGAGAGAGAGACTTTGAACAGCGTCGGTGCGGAGGGGTTGATCGACCGTGCAAGGAGGAGCAGGCACTCGGTATACACGTCGGCTGCAAAGCGGAGTACGGTGTGCCCGTCCACGCCCGTATGTTCAAAGTTTATCCCTGCGGCCCCGTTCTCGCAGACGATGATCTGGAGCTTATCGTACCACCTATTAGTGCAGGATCCGACCTGAACGCCCTCCTCGAGCCGGTAAGTACCGCAGAGGAAGTTGCCACACATCTCCGCTGTCGTGCTCGGCGTGTGGTCGTCCAGGCAGACGATGAACAGCGCGTCGTCGACAACCTTGAGACACATGCGGTTGCGCCGGTGTTCGTGTAGCGTCTGGCGGAGGCTGGACCAGATCTTCCTGTTCTCAGTAGTGAGCAGGCCGATGCTGTTCGTAGACACCTGTTCGAGGGGGAGGGAATCCGCGTCCGCGCATATAGCCTGGAGGTTGCTCAGGATCTCGCGCTCGGTGAGCACAGGCCGACTCTGCGAGTCCAGCACGTCAAAGTAGTATATCTGTCCACGGCGGGAAACGCAAATATGCCGCGAGCCCTCGTTGCTGTCCATCCTGCACCCGCGCTGGGTGGGGATACGCGCAGTACCGAAGAGACGCGTGTATTGGTACATGTCGAGCGGGCGGCCGCGGAACGAGTCGGGCTCGAGGATCTCGTGTCGGAGGTCGTGGATGAACCCGAGGGAGGCAGCGATGAGCGATGCTGCGCGGGTGAGCTGCGAGCCGCGCGAAGGGGAGGGGTCGTCCCTGGACACAGAAAGGGGAACAATCAGCGTCTTGTCCAAGCGCATACACAAGACTCACTCAAGGACAAAGTAAGGGTTAAGACTGAGCACGACAGGATCGGTCGTGCTCAAATAGCTCTCATACCAAAACTCCTCAATATAACTCGCCTTATCCCTCGCATACTCCTCGAGCTCCTTCTGCATCCTCTCCCCCTCCCCTCCAGGCCTAAGGAACTCCTCCACCGCTTTACGCGTGACACCGTGCTCGGAGGGGTCTTGCAGGCCCTCGAGAGCGCGGAGGTAGCGCTTGCATGTGTCCGCCAGAGGGGGAATAGGGAGCTTTGGAAGCTTGGGTTGGCCGGCGAAGGTCTTTCCGTGAGGCTTGTGCAGTGTGGCCTTGGGAGTGAGCAACGGTCCTTCGGAAGTACCATTCCCGTTCCCGTTCCCTTTGGCGTTCCCATTCCCGTTGAGACCGATACCTTCGAAAGCAGCCTTGATCCCGTCGATAGTAGGTTTGGTCTTGATGCCATCCACTACCGCATCCGCCTTTGCCATAGGGGCAGTGACAGTCGCAGGGACAGGCGTCATCGGATGGTCACTCACAAAGGTAGTTCCAGAAGGGAGAGTGACGATATGTTCTTTCGCCGGTACCAAGAGTTCGCGGTCAAAGACGGGGGGAGGAGAAGGAGCGTCTGCGAATCGTCCCTCGGTGGATGATTTAACCCCTGTGGAATGGGTGGATGTACCTGTGCGCCCCATGCTCTGGTCCAGAGTAGGCATGGCTGTGTGGGGGGGGGGGTGAGAGGGGTGAGGGGCGGTCAGCGTGAGGTGATAAGCAAGAGATGGCTCATCCATGCCGAGTCAATCATCACAGACTCCGCATTTCCCCGCACTCTCCTCTAAGCAGTGTCAGCAGAGGAATTCACTTCACCAAGCCTAAAGGAGTGGCAGTGCACATTCTTAATGGTCAAGTGCACATCTCTTCGGGCAGACTCGGATCACGCTCACTTTCAACGCGCGTGAAATTTCCCCCCCTCTTCCGTTCATCTGCGGAAGACCAGAAAAGGAACTCTCCGCCGATAGGGTACCCCGGCGCGTAATATCAACTCGGACCATTCGAGGGACATCACCCCTTTTACTCCGCATAATCATTTCCCTCCTGCCCTGAGATGCGGGGCAGATAATGGGGATCGGCATCTCCGGTCGGACCCGAGGGTTCTACCACCTGAAAATAAGGTGGGTGGTGAGAAAGTTTTGTGTGGGGTTTGGGTGGTTAGCTACCTTGGAAGGTGAGAACGGCTCCGGGATGACCCGATCGCACGATCGATGGCTATCATCATCATCATCCATGCAGCCTCACAAGAACCGTCATTAGATTAACCAATATCCAACAATAGGGAACAGTGCTCGAGTGCGGGTGCGGGTACGGGTGTGGTGCGGGTGAGGGTCCGTTCTAGTCTAGTCTAGTCTGCGGGGTGGGCCATGTACAGCAGCTGGGTGCGCCGCGTGCAGGGCGGAGAGCGCCACCGGATGTGATACTGTTATACGTATTGCGCAAAGAAGGGGATGAGACTCTGGGCGAGAGTGTACGAGAACACCAGTTTGGGGCCTACGACCAATATCTACCACACGCAGGTTAGCCCTTACTCCCGCCACACGCCCCACACGGGGCACCACAATGCCAATGCCAATGCCAATTCACGCACCTTAGGCGTCAAGCCCTTAAACAGCGCCATCGGCCCCTCCTCCCTCATCAGTTTCGCAAACACCATAAACCCCGAAACCTTGGTCTCAAAGTTCTGGTTCTGGATACGCGTCTTGATCGTATCGAGCGGCGCGGCAACTGTGATGCTCGCCACCGCGCCTGCGACGGAGGCGATAAAGTTCTGGGTCCAGGTCGCTTTGCTGAAGTCTTCTATGTGCAGTAGCTGGGTTTTTGTATATGCCGATGCACCGAAAAGCTGTGCCGTGTGTCAGAATGGGTGGACGGCGGAGGGAGGGAGCGGGACGCACGGCAAATGACCCAGGAGCGTTCCGCGCCATCGTCCACCCCCAACCGCGGTACAGCGTCGTCCCTTCCTCAGCGACGATCCTTATGAACCCCCTATCCTTGAACGCGTCCGGATTGACCTGGCGCTTGATCTTCAGCGCGTCCAGTGGAAGCAACACTACCTCCCCGATCCCTGTCAAAGAGCCCGCTGTGGCGTGCATGATGTTCTTCCCGTTCCTGTCCCCGAAGGTGCCCCTGAACCAGGCACCATACTTCCGGGAAAGGATATCGTTAAACCATGGCTGGCCGCCGAACTTGTATATCCGCTGGGCGACTTTGTACCCTGCTGCATAGCCGAGTCCGGGGAAGAGAGAGAAGAACTTTGTGAACACCGGGGAGGAGGCGTGTTGCCTGAAGATGACTTGGTTGGCACCGGAGAAAGACCAGACGTTGACGGAGGTGTTGGACATGAGCCGCTTGGCGATCGTATCCACTGGATGGAAGACGAGCAGCTCGGCGATCCCTGGGTTGTGTTGAGCGTGTTGTTGGACTCTGTGCAGGATGGTGCGACATACCGGATGTGCCTGAACCGAGGACACGCGCTGTACCGCTCTCCCCTTTCCTACCAGCAGGTGGTGACATATTCTAGCCCAAAGAAAAGAGAGAACGAGGGAGGAGGGGAGGAAAGATGAAGGATGAAGAGATATATGAACCGAGTTGAAGCTGTCTGATGCTTGTGAGAAATATTGGTTCCGTAGGAAATTTGGTGCACGTTGCCTCGATCACGCGCAGGGCATTACATACGCGCTTCAGCGACTGAACGGCGTACTATTGCTCTCTCCTCCTACCTTCTCTTCCTGCTCTTCCTCTAATACCCCCTCTCGGACTGGACCACACAGCGCTGCGAAGACTATGCACACATTCGAGGAAATCGTACAGCAGGAAGAGGCCATCCTGCGCAAAGTCCATCCAGAGCCAAAGGACATCCCTCCCTGCTCGACGCTAATCGACGACTACTTACGTTCCTTCTGTGCGTCCCTCCTTCCTCTTTCCCACAGCGCAGCAACAGCAGCTCACCCCCGTGCCCTAGTACCAGGAAGCCAGATCCGGTCTTTGTACAGGTACGGCAACCTCAGCGGAACGAGCGCGGGCAAGATGGAGGAATTCATGTTCTGCCTGTCGCTGAAAGCGTTCAGCGCTGAAGAACGCAGGGAACGGTGGATAAGGCGGAGGGGGGAATGGTGGGCGAGGAGGAGGATGGGGAGGAGTAGTGAGGATGTGTGGGAGCTTAGGAGGTGCGTCGTGTTTGCGTTCTTATGGGTATGCATGGCTGAGGCGGCAAAGTACACCTCTGCCGGAATGGACTATGCCTCAGGATCCGGATGCGCCTAAGACGGTATATACGTGATCGTGATCGTGGGCAACGGATGTTGGCATATTCAAGCCCCCATCGGGGCGAGACGTGCACTTACTCAATCTCAATGTATAATCCCCCAATGGAATACAATACAAGCCAATTCTTTATGCCTAAGCGTCCTTTTTCTCTCACTACCAACCCAAGACCGCCCACCAGCCCAGTGCCGCCCCAAGGGTCGGAGCGAGGGCCCGACCAAAATTCAGCTTCCTCCATTTCTCCAACAAACTGTGCACCTCACTCTCCTCCCTCTCTTCCCTACACGCCCTGCCCTCCTCGCGTGCAACTTCGTCCTCCGTCAGCTCTTTCCGCTCTGCGCACTCCAGCAGCCTGCCGTTCGTCTGCCTCATCAGGCCCAGCGTGTACGGCACGATAGAGAGCGTGAGTGCGCCCGCAGCTGCGTATACCCGCCCGCGGAGGGTGGTGTGCCCCTCGGAGAAGGAGAGGAATGCGAATCCTGCAGCGGCGAAGGCCGCGATGGGGGGAGCGGTGTGCATCCCTGTGTGGAAGAGGTTGCGCCATTGTTGGGCTGCGAGGGTGGCGGGGGAGAGGGCGACGGCGGGGATGGACAGGGAGAAGGCGGTGATGTACCCTGTTTGATAGGAGGTGAGATGTTGACGCTGCCGGGGATGGGGTGGGGGAGACGTACCTGCGAGGTAGGATGCGCTGCCTACTGCGAGCGCTTTGACCACTGTAGTTGCACGGTCTGACATTGTCGTAACAGAGAGACAGAGAGAGAGCACTGTATTCTCCTCATTGGCAAGAGGCTGTTATACCTCGTCCTTCACCAGGAAGGCGGATCAGACTACGGTCATCTGCCTCTCCGAATGGAGCAGTTTGTCCACAAGCGAATGAGATGCGCTCAAAGTTGGGCGCGGCAGGGATTTCACGTCAACTCATGTACACTCACTCCGGCACTGCGGGTCGAAACGGGATATGGTCACGAGCGCTGAATGGGACATTCATGGGTTATGGAACTTTTGTGGCTGGGATTGGCTAGGCTTACTCGGTGCTTCTCTTATGCACAAGTCTATCAATGTCCATAAGAGGAACCTCATAAAGCCTCTCCGCGGAGTACTAGTGTGCAAAAGGGAGGTCTGTATTTCTATAAGACCAGCTTATAACAGGCCCGCCTCGTTACAGGAAGATCTACATCGGCTACTGGATCAGTTTTGGACACGATCCGTGCTCACTTGATAGTGTCAAATCATTGTCGTTAAGCGTATGTTGCATGACCAAGGCAGTAGAATACTTAACGCGAGCATGGCCCTTGGGAAAAAAATGAGTTGGAGTTAAAAGCACATAGCGGAATTTCAACTGACACCGTCTGGTCTACTCCTGATTTGTGCAAGCCTCCCATTTATATTGTTGCAGACCCAGTCACCTGTTGCAAACTATCTGGGTCTTTCAGTGATCTGTTTT